GGTGCATGAATCATGGTCCAAATGAAAATGCTTTAATTAAATCTGTCATAAATGTATCAGAGTTTTTTAAAAAGTCAATAATACCCTTGATACAAATTTACATTTAGTATCATAGTTAAATTATCATCAATTGAACCTAAAAGCATGTTAAAAACCCTAAAAAATTAATTTGCTCTAATCTTATATGGATATATGAGATTTCCAAAAGGTAAATGATCTATATACTCTACAAAGTTATACAAAGTTATACACTCTGTTATACATTGATAATTTTCGTTACTTGTGCCGTTAAAACTAATAGTTTCTGTTATTTGTGCTATTAAAATTTACAGTTTCCATTATTTATTCCGTTAAAACTTACAATTTTTGTTACATATTAACGATTTCCATCAGTCTGTAACGAAATGTATAACTGTGCATGGTGTATGTATAATTGTTATTTCCAAAAATTTTGGTTTTTTTCCATTATGCCTTTTTGGTTTTTTACTTTGATGGAGATGAGATCTCCAAAGATTCAAACTCTTGGGATAGAGATTTTGGATTTCCATTAATTTTCTTTGGCATAAAGTACAAATATTATACTAACCTTCATTCAATCGGTGGAGATTATAATTAAATTCCTATTCTTTTCTATGTTTCTGTTTTATTTTTAGAGATTGCATAGGTTTCTAATCCAGTAACCTCGTGCCATTCGAAAACGCAAAAGATTGAATGGTGTTTCCGTTCTATGTTGGGTTGAGAAGTTTGATCGAATTCAAAGGTATTTTGGTTAGTGGTGGTGGTGGAATTGTATATTGAAACCTTAAAGGCAAAAAAAGAACGGTGAACAGTTGAGAGAGAGGCAAGGGAGGTAGAGTTATGTTTTTTGTTTCTTAATTTTAATAATTATTTATTAATGACAAATTAATTTTTAGGTTTTTTTCGATTAATGTCAATTTAAATATTATACTAAATGCTTCTAAAAAAAATATTATACTAAGCATAACTTTGTATTAAGGGATGATACATTTTTTCAAAAATCATAATACACTTATAATAAATTTGATTAAAACAGTTTCACTTATATAGGATTCCAGATTAAGTTCTCGTTAAATCTAAATGGAGAGTTTGCTAAATACACTAGATAAGAATTTTCCCATTTTTATTTCCATCTCAGATTAATGCCAACCAAATTTGTTTGTTTGTTATTTATTTATTTTTTATTATTATTATTTTGAGTTTAAAGTTGGTAGACAAAGTGTTCCCAATACAAATATGAATTGCCTTTTTTTTTTTGTAATATATTGTAATTATTTACAGGTTAATTGAGGATGAGGGAAAGACTTTTCATTGAGCAATAGGAGGGGAAAAACCCTAACCCAAGTCCAATGCCACTAGATCTAAGCGGCTGTTCTACAAAAATGAATTGCTTAAGCACACTACACAACCTGGAAAAATCCCTACATTTGCCAAAGTCGAACCCACAACCTTTTACAGAGCTCTAGTCATTGCCAGTGGACCAAAAAAACGTCATTGGCAACGTGTTATTGTTTGGGAAGAATGTGCACCCAAAAAAAAGGAATTTGCTACAATTGATATGGTGTTATATGAACCATGCTGAAAATGTATCTTTAAACTCTAAAGTTTGGATACTAATGTTATCCAAAAAGGAGTTCACGATATATCCATATTTCTCACGTATGGAATACCCAATCCTATTTTGTAATGAGAGGAATCAGTTAAAGTAGTACTATCCTTCCCTGATTGCATCCAGAACTATTCTTGTAAAATATGTACCAATAATTCTGCCCATCTATCATCTCAACTGCACTTCCCTGATAAAAAATATGAGATTTCTTATTCAAGTTTTCCCTTACTATCTGTGAATTTGAAAATCAAGAAGGCTCAATATTAAGTTGACTCTGTTAGCTCCCATATTTTTATCGTCCCATCATCACTTGCAGAAGCAAGAAGACGCTTTTCCTGTCATGTTTCAACAGATGATGGAAAGGGTAGGGGGTAAGCTATATATAGTTATGAAACCTAATATCTCTTCAATTTCTAAAAACCGAAATCTTACCCCAGGGATCCATTGAACTGAATTCACATCCTTGTCGTGGGCTTTGTCCTTCTTTAATAGTAACTGATATGAGGGTCCAGTCATCTGTATTTAAAAGAGGAGAAATTAGCCATCAAGCCATGAACCCTTCACATGCACTACATGATGCCCTGCTCAACTAATTGTACTGTAATCTAAAAGATATATTCCAGATTCATTTGCTAGTCAAAAGCTTGAACAGGAAAAGTCTATATCTCCATTTGGGCTATGAATTTTGTTCAATAAGCATATATATACTCCCTCCATCTGAAATTAATTGTCCTACTTTTTCTAATTCACCCAACTTTAGGCAATGCCTCTATATAGCATATGAATGGTAATTAAATTTTTTTTATTTTTTTTCCATACATGGTTCTTGTTAAGTAGTTTCACTGGATAAAAAAATTTTCCATTTATCACTCATATGTTATTTAATAGAATTGCCTAATGTTGAGTGCAAAAGAGGTAGGAAAACTAATTTTGGATGAAGGGAGTACAAAGAACTAACATGCAAAAGCAATCCAAAATAAACTATCACATTATTTTGGGGAAAACCAATGTGATAGTGAAGCATGTTTTTTGCTTCTTAAAAGTATAAAATCAACTCATTCACCAAAAAGAAGTATAAAATGATTTTCCAACCTGACCTGCATGTATTACAATCTAACACAGAGAGGCAAAATAACATACCAATCCATCTTTGCTCTCTACAAACAACCTAATAGCACCATCAGCTGCTCCACTGGCAATAATACCTTCCCTGTAACATTCATATACCAATATAATAAAAATCCCTATTAAAAAAGATCAAATAAAATAGTTATTCAGATCAGAAGAATATATTTTGAGCCCAGTTTAAGGTTTAGAATGCCAGAAGAACCTACAACAGTTACCTGAATCAACCCAAGCATGCTAAATTAATCCATCTTGTTACAATATAGAATATCTTTTGTCAGCCAAATTTCAGTTATATAGTTTGCATATTTTCAATAACATATGGAGTTTATCTAACTTAGCCGGTCATGGAAATTTTCCTGGTTCAACTTACCTGGTTGTTACTGAAAAGTTAAATAGAGCTGTAAAAGAATGAGTTTGTACCGTTCTCTACTGTCATGGTATCCTTTGATACAAGAGTTACTTTCCTAACAAACTACAAACATGAATCCAGGATCAACTTATCTGGCTGTTATTCAAAATCTTGATTTAACTAGTTTCATCACTTTTATTATTATTATTATTATTATTATTATTATTATTATTATTATTTTTGTGTGTGTGTTGTTATCTAAAATCAAGATTGCCCTTAGTAGAAGAATTTGTTTTTCCTTACAATTACATGCAGCAAATTATTAGATTGCAAACAACAGGCATTCCAGTTTTTAACATTCAAACCACCAGGAAAAATCTTAATGATCCAAATCAAGAGATTCCTCATTATGGTTCTTTCTCTTGGTGGGCATTTAAAATAAGAAATTAATGAAAGAAATAAACTAAAAGTAAATTGGTAAGAAAAAGACATATCCAGCCTTACCACTACCAAAATAACTGCAAGCCTTCCTCAAAACAACAGTAGCCTCCACTGACCAAAACAGCATGGAAATTAAACTATTTTGGTTTTAGAACAATGAGATACCATCAATACCTTGACCAATGAACAGAAAAAATTGGCCTATCATGATATCCTGAGAGAGTGCAGATATGATTCCTGTACAACCCATAAAAAAAACCTCCTTACCAGCAGACCATAACATAAAGGTAGAAAAGAAATACAAAATTATATATATAAGGAAAGAATATATTTAGTCTTGGCATAACACTGAAGATTTCCTACATAGGCATCACTAAGCCCCAATTAATCTTGACGACAGAATGTGAGCAATAAAAGTTTAGAGTTAACTCCTAGTTTCATTTATAAAAGTAAATGTACAGACACAAATTTGCAAAATGAATCTGCCAGAAAAAGCCGGATTCAAGCATCTGAATAACTCATCCCAAAAAAAAAAAGAAAAAAACTTAATAACATATCAAAACCCTAACATATGTTAACCAGCCAACATTCACGAAATCAGATTTTTCCCTCTAAAACTTCTCAAAAAAGAGAGTTAAATTCAATTATAAAAGAGAGATATGCATAATGCTTGTATGACAAATATATTACAAATATATAATATCATAAATTCCAACTGCTCTTGGTTCCTCTGTGACTATTCTGACGCATTTTGTTTCAATTTTCATACTAAATAGAAAATATCTTTAACCAAAGAATATTCATGTACCTTATAAGACTCAATAATAAATAATATTTAATAATAAATAATATCATATAATAATGTAAAAAATTAACAAATTTTAACACTTCCTTACCAAGGAGCATAGCCATGTCCAGATTGCATCCTTTTGATGTCTGCTTGCCATATCTTCAGAGTAAGATCATCACTGCAAAATAATTTCACTTTGCTTAGCTATGCGTCCTCTTTATAAGGACTGCTATATCTATACTGACAACGGATTTCCTTATGCATCCCACCAGCAGATAAAAATTGTTCCCACTGAGGGTCAAAAGTAAGAAAATTATTCGCATACCTACAAGTAACCATCTTGTCTCCTTCAGCATTAAAAGAAAAAGCCCAAACAGTTGAAGAGTGACCACTGGAAACAAGATGTTGAAATAAAATTTTATTTCAAAAGACATCATGTCTAGAAGTTTAATAGGACACCAAAATGAACTAAAATTGTAGTATAGAACAAGTTTTAAACATAGTACTTGCTAGATTCATCTAGAGTTTGAACACAGGTCCAAGAATCTTCTTCAGTCTCTGCCCACCAAACCTACAGGTAAATTCACATGCATTCAATTGTATTTCCCTAAGTTATAATTCTTCCTGACATAGGATGAAGCAGCTAATGATTGGACGTTCTTTCTTATATCATAATGCATAACCAAGACAGGAGAGGTAATCAAAAAATGCAGTACCTTTACTGTACTATCAGAGCTACAAGAAAATAACACATCCAAAGTGGGATGCCACTGCACCATTCTGACATCTTTTGAATGTCCTTCCAATTCTTCAAGGTCTTCAAAATCATTCCCAAGCGTACCTACCCAAAGACAAACTTCATCTCCCCCACATGATGCAAAAAAATACCCAGATGTACTCCAGCATGCACTGTTGACTTCATATTCATCTTCCTAAGCCAGATAAAAGAAAAACCATAAAATTTTCTTGAAAAGAGAGATCGATGAATCATATTTATAGAAGGGAATTGAAAAGAAAAACAGCTTTCACATTAACCAATAACCCTAGCTGAATGAAACAACAAGGGCACCATTCATGCTCCATCTTAAGGATAGTAATAATACCGCGCATATGGTAGCACTGTGACTATAGCCACCCCCCTCTCTGTCCCATATGACAATGCAGGCGTAGCATGCAGCAGCCAATCCTGTACCATTGGCTGCCCAAGCACATGAATGGACAGGTCCATTGTGCACTTCTTCCAAAACTGCCTGCACAAATGGATCATCTGAATCTGAAGGTGACTTCCTTAATTTATCACTAAAACTCCATGAAAAAGTATAAAACTCTAAATATTTCAACACCTAAAAGCATTTATATCAACACTATTTGACCATAGATATCAAACTTGAAAGCAAAAAATACCTAATAAAATGAATACAAGACCAAAATCTCACGATTGATTCCACTAATTACGGCATGAAATTCTAAAAACACCAATACGCATTCATATCAACACTATTTTACCATAAACATCAAACTTGAAGGTAAAAATAACCTAATAAAATGAATAAAAGACCAAAATCTCACGATGTTTCCACGAATTAAGGCATGAAATTCTAAACACACCATTACAATTTCCATTTCCCTCCCCGGCGCTTGGGCAACCTGATGATGAATTACCTAACTCACATGAAACTAATTTCATTTCATTTAACTCTACAAAATAATGCGCACAATTAAGGATACTGCATTCAACTCAGAAAACCAAAGGCCATTTCATCTTTCCTAGTTTCCTCACTGAAACCAAAGAAAGAACTCCACAAAGCTACACAGAAAGCAAAGGAAATAAAGAATTTAAAGAAAGAAGTATGCGATCGACCTTGCAGTCCCAGGAGCGAGTGGAGGGATTCAACTGCCAGATGCGCACAGTCTCGTCGTCGCTGCACGAAGAAAACACAGGCGGGACCTGGCCGACGCCGGTGACTGGGTTCCATGACAGGCTCAAAACGCTATCCTTGTGACCTTCCAGCTTCTGAAGCTCTTTCAACTCCATTACGGTTGCAGAGAAGAATCAAAATTCGATTCAACAGTGAAAGTGAAGGAGAAGAAGGAGAGGAGAAGAGGGGGAAAATGAGGATTATGGAGGTTGATTTCGGAGCTTGGGGAAATGAAAAAGTTGACGGGGTGACGGTTAAACGCGCTCGGGCTCAGCGTTTCTTTCGGAGAGGAGAGTGGCCCACTCGTGCCAATCTTAACACGTCAGCACGGCGAAATTCCTCACTTCCATTGGCAGTCTTTTTTTTTTTTTTGGTGAATTTCCATTGGCAGTGTTTGGCAGTCGCCAAAATGCCTTCGCAGTGCAGTGTTTTTTTTAATTAAAAAATATTAGTTTTTTTATTGAATAATTATAAATATTAAATTAATTTAAAAATTAACATGTATGATAATTTATATAAATAAAATATTATATTTAAGAATTAATTTTTAAAAATATTTATTGAAGGGTAATGTGTTTTATATATTGAAATTTTAATTTTTTTTATAAGAATTGAAAATGATATGTATTATTTTTAAATGTAAATTATATAAATTAATTATAGTTTATTAAATTAAGGGAGTACACAACATCTTATTTTAGTGATTTATTGAAACGTGGGCTATATATTTAGTGTCCAATGACGCAATAACTTTGTCTATATCTAAATAGTAGTAATCGATCACGTTTTATTTTAAATAATAAAATCCATTTTTTTGAGACAAGTTTACGTCCCTCATTAGCATGGTACTAGTAGAAGGGGAAAAAAAGTGGTAGAATTGATGAGTTTTTCTCTTATTTTTTTGGTAAAGTAGAATTGTTGATAAGATTTTAGTTTTGATTATATAATAAAAAATAATTTTTTTATATTTTTATTTTACTTTATTTATATATCATATAATTTATATTTATAATTTATTATTTTTAACAAAAAAAATATTATTATTAAATTATTTAAATAGTTCATAAAATTATTGATGAGTTAAGAGACTAAAAAATGTTAAAAAATCCTGAGGACCAAATCTGTATTAAATCACAAATTTAAAGGACGAATATATTTTCCACCTTCTGTAGCATCTTACCATTTTCTCCAGAAATTGCCTCAAACAAACGCCTCCTTACGCTTCGCAGGCCAAGGCCAACGCCAAACAACGTCTCCCTTCGTGACTTGGGCCGAAATAGAGCCTAAAAAATTAGACCAAAAAATCAACCCAAAAGAACCGAACCACTCGTTGATCCAATAGCAATAGGCCTCCGATTACCCGTTCGACCCGGCAATTCCTTCTTCAAAGTTAAAACCATTTTCGTATTGGTTCTTCGAGTTCCAGATCTCTGCAGACCCTAATCACAAATCCTAGCGAGAGAAAGGGGGAAGAGGAGTCGGTTTTGTCGGAGTAAAATCGCCATGGAATACTCAGCTCGAAAAAGTCAAGGAGGAGGCCTCTTCGAAGGTCTCTACAGGGTTATCATGCGCCGTAACTCCATCTATGTCACTTTTGTCGTCGCCGGCGCTTTCCTGGGTGAGCGGGTATGGTTTTACCATTTTGCGTTGGATCTCTATGCGATCTTGTTTTATCCTTCATTTTGCACAAAATTTGTGTTTGGTTGACTACAAAGCTGAGAAAACTAGAAGAAAGTGAACATTTTTTTTTCTTACCTAGCTGATTAATCGATCTCAAAAGCCTCAAAATGTTTTAATTTTTGAAAGATTATATTCTCATTCATGTTGCTGATTTAGTTGAAAATTTGATCGAAATGGTTTCTGCTTCGGTGTTTTGTTTATTTATTTTGTAAAAATGTCTTTCTGACGGGAATGGATGATTGTAGGTTTTATTTCTCAATTGAATTACATATTGCCATATTAGTTAGGCATTTTTTTCAGCCTTTCTGGAAAAAAAGACTGATAAGTGGTTTGCGATTCGATATTAATTATTATGTGTTTTGGTATAGCTGTTATAAGAATGAAATTAGGGGTTCTTATTTTGATTGATTCAACTGGTTGCAGGCTGTGGATTACGGAGTTAAGAAGTTATGGGAATACAACAACGTTGGGGTATTGCTTCATCCATTTTATTCTATTTGCTTTTGCTACCTTACTTTCTCATAGTTGAACATGAATAGTTCCTATTTTGTTTTGCATTTTAAAACATAGGTGGCTTAGCAACAAACATAGTTTGATGTGGCACACTGTTTTGATCAATTGCAACCTTAGCTCTCTCTCTCTCTCTCTCTCTCTCTCATCCAATGATTTCTTTCTACTTGTAGCACTCAACTAATCTTTCAGATGGTTTTGTGAAAGCAGATTAAATGCGTTCCTCAATCTAGGCTTTGTATGTGGGAATATGTTTGTTTTGGTTCTTAAAAGTTTGTTTTAGAGCCATAGGCTTTGTAGAGAAAGTTTCTGGGGAAGCTTGTTTGTATAATGGTTTCTTTTAGATCCTCGAATATTGGGAACTTACAGAGTTGTTTCTAGTTTGAAATTAGATAAATGCCCTTGTGTCCCTTGAGGCTACAATAGCAAGGTGACTGTTACTTTCTTTTGTTTTTGTGCTTGAGTTGTAACTCACTGCTTTTCACTGGATATGGTTTACTCAGATAGTATTCTTACCATTTGGTGTGAATTTTCTGTGATTTAATTTTCTATATGGCCATGAAAGACTGAAGCATTGCTGCTCCAACAAGCCTTGACCTCCCCTAACACAAATTTACTAAGAAATAGCCTCTGGTTGGCAGTTTTGTTCCCTGATTTGCAGGACAAGTTTTAATTCGATGTGATAAGTAATTATCCTGAACAATTCTCATACTCTACAGACCCAACATTTTATTCATCTTAAAATCAAAACCTTTTTCTCTGATGTATTGCTTCTAGAGCATATAAGTTTCATCTTTGCTTATTTCGAAATTTTTTATCTTCTTGTGTAACAGAAACGATACGAGGACATTCCAGTTCTGGGACAGAGACAATCAGAAGAATGAAGCAGTGATGTCCTTCCTGCCCATTTAGAAGTTTACTATAGTATCTGGCTTGAGCATATATATCTATTATAGGTAGCAATGCTCATTGTTGCAATAATTGTTACTCACTTTGATTCAACAGACGTGTTTTTGACCTTGAATAGGTTTAATTGTCCTTTTAAGGAATTGATTTGCCGATAATTCAAATGGCCAGTATATTTCATTTCCTTTGCTGCCTTTCTCATCCTTTGCTCTGGATGCTGTATTGCTTGTTAAAGACTCATAATATAAATAATCAAATCAACATGGTTTGTTACACTGTTGTTTGTATGCTGTAGTGCTCAATAACCTATTTCAAGGTGACCCACATTGTGATAAGTGTCCCAGGATCAACTTCGTTCAACATAACCCCTATCTGAACCAAGTTATCACACGGGCTGGTTACAAAATATCAGGACAATCAATCATTAATGAGTGTCTAATGCAAGACAAGTCAAGTAACATCAAAATATTACATGATTGTCCAGTGTGTACGAATTCAGATTATTGTTATCCTGTAAAAAAATGAATTGATCCCAGATTCAGATGATTTTCCATCCTTGTTGGAAATATGGGCAACGACCTATTGTTTCACCATGAATGAACTTTTACAACTGCAGCCTCCCACCGCACTTGGATTTGTAGACACCTGCGTAAGATACTGAGATTTGTTACTGCAGTCTTGCGCATTCTGTATTATACCAAGGAAAAGGAGACGCCAATGGCTTGCTACCAAGCGTGA